TGCCGAGTCGGAAGTGGCCGTGCGAGTTTCCCATGGTGCCCCGCGGGGCGCCTATTCTAACTGCAGGGAGGAGAGGGAGTCAGTCCTGATGGCGGCGTCGGAGCCAGAAGTCCTGTCTCCGGTGGCAGTCCTTGGTAAGGTGTGGGTTCCAGGCCTTGGGGAGTCCTGGGGACCCGTTTCTCCCCTGCTGCGGCTCCTTCCAGTCAGTTAGCCTCTGACTCCTCCGATCACGCTTCCCTTCCTCTCATTTCCTGGCGTCCCGCCCCGCTCCGGCTGCCAGTCTTCATCGCAGTGGGTGGAGGAGGTTCCCAGTCCGCCTGTCTTTCAGCGTCCTTGACACTGCCTAACTACCTTTACGACTCACTTCCCATAGCAGGGAGGGCCTGCCGCTTTGTGAACCGAGCCCTGGGCGTTGCCTCCGAAACCCCCCACTGTCCTGCCGGCACGTCAAAGTACCGTAGGCAACGGGGATCAGGAATCTGTTCCTGCCACGGCTGCACAGGAGTATGTGCGTGTCCGGGGTGTCCTATCGCAGTAGTGGCTGACATAGAGGCCACAGGGAATGAAAAGGCTGATTTTAGCTTTTAGGTTTTTCTTTTTTTTAAGTTTTTGGTCTTTTGTTTGCTTACCAGATATGGAATGGTATGAGAAGTCCGAAGAAACTCACGCTTCCCAGATAGAACGACTTGAGATGGCATGTGCCCAGGAACCTCCCAACCCTTTGGAGCCGTTTTGCGCAAGAGATTGCATGGTGCCGGTGGTGTTTCCCGGGCCTGTGAGCCAGGAAGGCTGCTGTCGGTTTACCTGTGAACTTCTAAAGCATATCATGTACCAGCGCCAGCAGCTCCCTCTGCCCTACGAACAGCTTAAGCACTTCTACCGAAAACCGTCTCCCCAGGTGGGTACAGGCTTTGTGGGAAAGATGGTGGCATGACTTGGTTGCTCTTCGCTGACAGACCAGTAGTAGAAAGGGGGTCCGACGAGTCTTCTGGGCCCTCAGCCTAAGCAGCTGCAGGGGCTTTTTCTCTCGTGTTGAAACTGTTATGTGTTGCCTTTGGACTTATGAACTGTCTCTATAGTTTCTTTTCTTTCCAAATCTTTATCTCCTCCCCCCCTCCCCCCCTTACTTTCTGGGAGACTACTTCCTTGATTTTCTTTACTAACACTTCTGTTGACGTCTTTCCTTTTTGGCAATGATATATTTTTTAATTTTTTAAAAAAGAATTATGTATTTCATTTAATTTTATAATTGTCATTATTTTAATTTACTATAGAGTATATGCCCTCACGAGAGAGAGAAAAAGACAGAGAGAGAGCAAGCCAACTGCCAGGTCCAGGATTAAAATCTCAGTCAGCTGTGTGGGAGTCGAGCGCCTTAACCACCACGCCATCTGCTGGTCCTGGCAGTTATATTTTTACAGGATCTTTCTTTTCTTTCTTTTTTATTTTGGAGAGGGTGGTGCTATCTGGTGTGTGCTCTTGCCAGAAAGATGGGGGGGGGGGTAGGTAGGTAGAGAGAGACAGACAGAAAGCAAGAAGTCCCCCCCCAGGGGGGTGGCCACACTACAATCCCTTCTCCATACTCCTCTCGGGATCTTGGGCACTCATGCACGGCACCCAGTGTGAGTTTAAGCCACCGGGTCCGGGACTCGAACCGCAGTTGACTACATGGGAGTCCAGCGACATAACCATTATGCCAACTGCTGGTTCCTAAAGGATCTTTAATTTTTTCTTAATTTGGAAAATTTTATCTCTAGGTGGGAAAGGATATTGGCAGATGGTATAGACATTCTCTCACCTGTTTTCATTCAGTCCCTTGTGTCCACTTTTGCTTTCTATTGTGCCCATATGGCCTGTTCCTGAACACTTCTGGGGTTCTGCAGTATAAATTGGTTTCCTTCTTATGGAGGGTCCCCTCTGTCAGCACTTGGTATTGAGGTCTCTTGAACTTTTTTTTCAAGAATTATTTATTTATTTAATCTATTATTGTTATTTAATTTGAACAGAGAGAGAGAAGGGGAAAGAGAAAGCAAGCCACCAAGTCCAGGATCTGAACTGCGGTCGGCCATGTGGGAATCCAGCATCCCCACCAGCATGCCACCTGCAGGCCCCAGGTCTCTTGAATTTTTAACTCTTCCATCTGTTTTCTGTCTTCTATAACTTCGAGGTTACCTTTGGCTAGTATTGTTTATTTTGTCTTTGGGAGTTCTCTTTCTCCCTTTCCTTTTCTCTTTTGTTCTCCTTTCTTTCCTTCGTCTTTTTTTATTTAGTAGTATTTCAGGTGGAAGCACAAATAAGCATGCGTTCAATTTGTCATCATTTTAAAAAATTTTAGAATTTTTTTTTTGAGAGGTTTTCGCTATAGGGCGCGTGCGCTCGACAGACAGAGAGAGACAGAGAGGCAGAAAGCGAGAAATCACCCCTCAGGGGGGATGGCCATGCTGCAATCCCTTCTCCTCCATTCTCCTCTTAGGATCTTGGGCATGCCTGCACCCACACCCGGCATGAATCTTAAGCCACCGGGTCCGGGATGCGAACCACAGTTGACTATATGGGAGTCCAGCGACATAGCCATTATGCTAACTGCTGGTCCCTAGAATTATTTTATTTAACTTTATTTTTTTGTTTGTTTGTTTTAATTTGACCAGGGAGGGATGAAGGGAGACAGGGAGGGAAAGTGAGAAAGCAAGCTGCCAGGTCTGGGACTTGAACCATGGTTGACCTTGCGGGAGTCCAGCACCCTTAATCACCACACCACCTGCCGGGCCCTCAATTTGTCATCTTAAACTGGAAGACCAACCTCAGAATAATCTCTGTCAAACCAAATAGTTCTTATTCCTGTTATCACTCCGTGTATAGCAAAACTTGGCCACCTTCTGCCATACTACCAAATCTTCATGGCTGTTGTAGTTGCTTCTATCTGGACGCCCTCCGGCTTCAGAACACTGTCTTTGTTTTCCTAAGTGTGGGAGGATTTGGGTTTTGTATAAAGGATACATTTTCCTTTACGTAGGATGTCTTCTGGTAAGACCCACTGTTTTGGCTATGGCAGTTCATTAAGCCAGAGATCTAGTCCCATAAGTCTGTCTGCACATCCCAACAGGATTCTTTTTTTTTTTTTTGGAGAGGTTTTTGCTATAGGGTGCATGCGCTCGCCAGGCAGACAGAGAGAGACAGAGAGACAGAAAGGAAGAAATCACCCCCCAGGGGGGATGGCCACGCTGCAATCCCTTCTCCATTCTCCTCTCGGGATCTTGGGCATGCACACACATGCGCCCAGCTTGAGTTTTTAAGCCACCAGGTCCGGGACGCGAACCGCGGTCCACTACGTGGGAGTCCAGCGACATAGCCATTACGCTAACTGCTGGTTCCCCACCAGGGTTCTTCAAAGGGCATCTGCTTCCACCTGCTTTGTCGTTTTTCATTCTTTGTCATCACAGGCAGAGGACATGGTGAGGAAGAAACCTCGGGCCACTGCTGAAGTGAGCAACAGAAAATGCCAACAAGCCCTGGCAGAACTGGAGAACGTCCTCAGCCACCTAGAGGGCTTCTTTGCCCGGACCCTAGTACCACGAGTGCTGATCCTTCTTGGGGGCAGTGCCCTAAGCCCCAAGGAGTTCTACGAACTCGACTTGTCCCGACTGGCACCTGACGTCGTGGACCAGGGCCTGAGCACAGCAGCTTGTCTGCGCCGTCTCTTCCGAGCCATTTTCATGGCTGACGCCTTTAGCGAGCTGCAGGCTCCTCCGCTCATGGGCACCATCGTCATGGCACAGGGGCACCGCGACTGCGGAGAAGATTGGTTTCGACCGAAGCTTAACTACCGAGTGCCCACCCGGGGTCACAAATTGACTGTGACCCTGTCCTGTGGCAGACCTTCTATCCCAGTCACGGCTTGGGAGGATTACATTTGGTTCCAGGCACCAGTGACGCTGAAAGGCTTCCATGAGTGACTGCGAGTGCTTCTTAATCATGAAAACACAATGGCTGTATTAATTCATTCTTTTTCTCCTAGTGGCATAAAGTCACCAGCTCTTGCTTGGAGCTGGATGGGCTTCCTGATGAGAGAAGAAGGTTCTGTCCATTTGGCTGTGTCCTCAGACTTCCTGGTGGGGTGATGGGATGTGGCTGTGACTAATAATCATCATTGAACAACATCTCTTTGAATCAGAGGTTGATTTTCTAGAAGGTGCTGGGTCAAGTGTTTCTGGGCCCATAGACATAATCCTGTGGAAGTGGCTCTTTGATTTTGAAAGACTTTTCAGGCTTGGGAAGAGTATTTTGTCTTTCTCTTCGTCCTCTGCTCCAGGGCTTCCAGGATTTCTGCTTCTTTTTCAGTTTTGCTACATGGCATATTACTCGCCAGAGAGAGGGTGAGAAAGTGAGAAATCACTCCCCGGGGGAGGAATGGCTACACCACAATCCCTTCTCCATTCTCATCTCAGGATTTTGAGCACGCACATGGTTTATCAAGCTGCTGGATCTAGGACTTCAGAGGGCAAAGGTACCGGAGGCTGGACCACCGGGGAAGCTATGCGGTGTAGCGGTTAATGACGCTGGCTCTGCAGCCAGACCTGGGGCCACTTCCCTCATCTTTCTAGCCTCGATTTTCTAATCCTTAAAACGCAGCGACGAGAATACCTGTGTCACAATGCCAGGGGTTGGAGGCAAGGACGCAGGTGCAGCCCTAAATCCCAATGTTCCCTGAGGTCGACCCACGTGAGAGGGTTCAGAGACTGCCCCGCCCCTAGGATGAGTGTGCCCATGTCCCCAGGCTGGCTAAAGGTGGGCATGTACCATAGCATCAGGACCCTGTCAGAGTGCTGTCTCTCTCTGTCCCACACACACTAATAGAAAAAATAAACAAACTTTTTCCCCTAGGTTTTTGCCATAAGGCACAGGCACTAGTGAGAGAGAGAGGGTGAGAAAGTGAGAAATCCCTCCCCCGGGGGAGGAATGGCTACACCACAATCCCTTCTCCATTCTCATCTCAGGATTTTGAGCACGCACATGGTTTATCAAGCTGCTGGATCTAGGACTTGAACGGCCAGGTTGACAATGTGAGATCCAGTGCCCTCACTACCATGCAACCTGCTGGCCCCAAGATTTCTACTAATTCTGTTTTTTATCTCTATCAGCCCTAGGCCAGTCTGAGAAGTTAAGTGATTTGCCCCAGGTTCTATAAGTAGTTCGATAGCAGAACTGGTTCTAGGGTCCTCGTCAGCTAACTTCTAGCCCAGGTTTCTTGTCCCAAACTGATGTTTGTAACTTAAATTCTATATGCCCAAGGCAGGGATCACCTTTGATGGGGTCAAAATTCTGGTAAGGAGCTTAGCTTACCAAGCCACTCAGTGACAGCCCTGTGCTTGGTCTAGAGTAAATTCCGAGTGGGTTTCCTGAAAATGGTGAGGGGGAAGGAGCTCCTCGCAGGACTCTTCACTCAACAGTGGCTACAGCTGTTACTCAACAGTCACCTATAGCTTTGAGGGTCAGATGCTGGTGAGCAGTTAGGATGGGGGAAAGCGGCTGCATGTTAGTCTTAATTAAGGCAACCTCCATTGAATACTTGTCAGGGGCTAGGCTTGGGGAACTGAGACCTGGGGGAGGCCCCGCAGCCACTTCCAACTATCCTGTAGTACTGGTAAACCTGGTCTGTTTTGCCTTTTAAATCTGAGAAGCATATTCTATGAGAAGGGCTGAGAAAAGGAAACTAAGCAGGTCTTCACAAAGCCTGATTGAACTGCACACTGAAGGCCCCAGGATTGTCCTGGCCTCCTATGAGATTTGCTCTGAGGCCAGATGTTCCCTCTGTGGTTCTGCCCAGCCTGTCTCCTCTACAGCTGTTGGGTGGCTACTTCCAGCTACTGATGACAGTATTGCCCTGCCCTCCTTCCTGTGGCAGTTCTTCAGCCACATCTGATTTGACCATCTTTATCCTTGCTGCTATCCTCCCTGGCTTGGTATGTCCTACCACCTAGTGTTCATGCGTTTGGTCCCTGGAGGAGGAAACCACTTGTTCATTTTCTGGAAGCAAGTTGAAGATGGAATCTTTACCTGCTGGTATTAGAAGTAGGTTGTGTGTGTGTGTGTGTGTGTGTGTGTGTGTGTGCGCGCGCGCATGCATGTGAAGGGACTTCAAAAAATTTGTGGAAAAATGGTATTAAAGTACAAGTTTATTTTGGCACCAAAAAAAACCTTTGAAATTCTTGCATAGTTTTTATATGTATTTTCCATGCACTTTTTGAAGACCCTTGTATAAATAGGGACAAGGATACATGCATTGAAAGGCTGTACGATTAGGTAATGGAGTAGAGTGCTTGAAACAGTATGAAGTTTAAAATATATACTTATTTTTAGTTTTTGTTTTGCTATAGGGCATGTGCACTTTGCTGGAAGAAATGAGAGAAAGAGGGAAAGTGAGAAATCATTTCCCCAGGGGGGGATGACCACTCCACAATTCCTTCTCCAGTCTCCTTTTGGGATTTTTGGGCACGCATGCATGTATGCCCAGTGGGAGTTTCAAGCCTGGGACTTGAACTGCAGCATCAGCTATATGGAATTCACCTGCCTTAACCTCCATACTACTTGTTGGCCGTAAAATATATACTTTTTCTTATTGTAGTATATAACATATGTACTATGTATTAAGCACTTATACGTGATCTAATCCTAACGCCTTGTGATGTATGTATTATTGCCTCCATTATACAGCGAGGCTTGGGGTGACTAAGTTACTTACCTAAGTGGTGAGACCTGGATTCAAACACAGTCCACCTGGCTCCAGAGGCTGAGTGTTTTTCACTGTGCTATATGTCCCACGAGTTTTACTCTGAAATAATCAGCCGTTTGCAATGTCAAAGGTTATGAAATTGCAGGGCTCCCTTCTGGCTTCAGATTCTGGTTCCTGACACGGAGCCTGCCATTAATAGGTGCTGAGTAGGGACCAGCAGTTGGTGTAATGGCTATGTCGCTGGACTCCCATGTAATCGACTGAGGTTCAAGTCCCAGACCCGGTGGCTTAAACTCATGCTAGGTGCATGTGCGTGCATGCCTAATGAACCCAAGAGGAGAATGGAGGAGAAGGGATTGTGGCATGGCCATCCCCCCGGGGGATGATTTCTTTCTTTCTGTCTCTCTGTCTCTGTCTTTCTGGTGAACGCATGTGCCCTATAGCAAAAACCTCTCAAAAAAAAGAAATTAGGTGCTGAGTAAACGTGGAATGGATGAAAACAGTACATTTGGTTCTTTTCTGTGCTTTCACCCCTTGAAGCCTGCATTTTCACCAGCCAGAATTTTGGCTATTTTTCTGTATGATCCTGTTACTTGACAGAAGAGGATTTGGGCCCTCTGCCACTTAGAGAAAGGAAGAGCGAGGAAGTCTCACTAAAGAATAGAATTGTGAACACAGGGGTTCTAGATAGTTTTGAGATGAAAGATAGAGTCAGCCAAGTCAGCTCCCTCAAATACTTATTTTATTCATTAGAGAGCATGAGAGGGATCCTTCATAGGGTCTGTGAGCCCCTTCCTGAGCCCCAGCTTGTCAGGATCTGGGGCACACGTGTACCTGGAGTGCTTTCAAATTGGCTAGGGCTGTGGGTTCGCTCTTAGCCACGTGGCTTCCGACGCTGCAGTTTATCCTGCTACCACTTGCGCCACTAAGGCTGGGCCTCATACTGATTTTAAAAGGCTTCATAAACAATGGCTAGATGAACAAAACAAAGTAATTACCTGAGTAATTTAGACACTTTATTTCTCCACTGGCTTGGCATTGGGGCCCAGGTCATTCTAATTTTGTGAGTCTTCTCCAAAGGAATCCAGAAATGAAAAGAACAATTCATAATATTAACAATGAAGCCCATCTTCTCTAGCAACAAGCTTGCCGAGGAACCTGTTCGTGTTTGTCCTTTGCTGGAGATTCCAGAGGTGGATTTAAAGAAGCAGTCTATATCTCAGGGAGTGAAGAGCCCCAGTTGCGGGATGGGGTGGGGCGGTCTGGTGTTTCATAGGCTGCTACCATTTACGTCTATAAGCAACTGTTTTGGCATGGTGGTTAAGGGTGCTGAACTCCCACATGGCTAACTGCAGTTCAAGTCCCGGACCTGGTGGCTTGCTTTCTTACTTTCTCTCTCTCTCTCTGAACCTCTCTGGTCAAATTAAAATAAGTTAAATAAAAAATAATTATTAAAAAAAAAAATAGAAGCAACTGTTGTGGAGCCCAAGGTGGGTTAATGTAGGTGGCAGTTGACGGGGTTCCTCTCTCCAGGCTCTTCCCGAGGTGTATTACTTAGCTCATCCTTTGTCTCCAGCAGAGCAGCCAGCCCTGTGGAAGGGGTAAAGAGACACCTCTGAAGGCTGCAGGGAATCTCAGGCCATTCTGTAAAACCTGGGCAGGGGTGAGGGGATTAATGGCAGTTTTTATTTTAGAGCCAGGAGGGATCCCAAGTTTTGTTTTTAAAATTTGTTACAGGGTACACGCACCTGCTGGAGTAGGAAAGTGAGAGCACTCCCCAGGGAGTATAGCCTCCTGCAATCCCTTCTCTATTCTCCTGTAGGGACTTTGGGCATACAAGTATGCATGCTCTGTGTGTTTTTCTTTCTTTTTTTTCCCCCCTAAAGGGTTACCTTATTTAACTTTTCTTTCTTCCCTTCTTCCTTTATTTACTTATTTTCATTTGACCAGAGAGGGACAGAGTGAGAG